CTGATTTAGGTAGCAATTGATAAAATGTAACATTTTTATTTAGTTCATTTTACCTGCCGAAGTAGCTTAGTCGCAACTTATCCGTGACAACCCGGAGATTAACCCCGTACCCAACAGTATGTTCTCAAGTAGGGGAAATTTGTGCACAGTGATGACCGTGCGTTCCCTCGTGTTCACATGGCTCTTTATTATTAGTTTGCTCTCAAAATTTCACCTCGGTCCATTCCAACGTCCATCAGATTCTTCAAATGTTTACTGCCACACGTATTGAAAAACCATATGCAAAATCATGCAATGTGTATCCTTGCTTTTGATCAGCGTGGATCGACACTGCCACCTTCAAAAGTCACTTGCAGGTCGATCAAGGATGGAGGATTAACTCAGTAAGATTGCACGCTGCATCTCACTGCACTGAGAATGCCACCTCGCATGGTGGTGAAACGTTTGCGACAAAACCACCAAGCTCGGAGAACAAATGAACAATGGAAAAAGACCAATAAGTTTCGACTCACACCTCTTGACAAAAACAAAATTTTTCCATCAGAATCATCAAATCGGGTTCTAAAAGCCAGCGCACAATAACTTGGTGCCATCATCCGGGCAACATTAAGCTAATTAGACATTCGATATTTTGAGGCACACTTGAAACCGACCGTTCCTTCCTAGAGAATTGCAGGCAAGTAATCCAACTACATGGAGAAGATACATGCCATTTTGTGTAATAGGACAAAATTCAAGTTTGATCCGATGCGGAATGATAGCGCGGCAAATGATGGAACCCAAATTATCAAATCATAGAAAGAAATGCAGCAATGAAACTACATGGATGGCTACACACTTGCGAGGCCTTCCCCGCGTGGCTCGCATCCACCTCCCCTTTAGAGACTACCGAAAGTGCATAAGCCCAACTACCGATCATCGAAATTTATCTGGCTACCCCGCGCATCCAGTAGCTAAATGGCTTGTAGAATTGAGTGAACTTCTGCGCAAAAGTTCTCAGCCCATGCTGTGAGTGATATATTTGACAACAACATGGCTGATGGCATGGCTGGGCAAAGTATACCAGTTAATGCTCCGTGGTACCATTTATAAACAATACTTTTTCGACGAAAAATGCTATTGACAAGTGGATGGAGTTCCAATGCGACCACTGTTAGGACCGCTTCTTGCTCAGCTCCTTCTCCCATAGGTTAGGCGTAGCCCTATCTGACAACTTACTAATCCTCTTCATTTGCTTCGGCGCTGTATGGACGACACGTTCATCATGTGTGACCCCCACATCGAACACGTTTACTTACTGGACCAGCTTAACAACACACATCCATCATTAACATCCATCTAGGAGGCAGAGAAGGAAGGTTAAATTCCGATTGGATGTTTCGTTGCCACTTCGAAACGATGGCTCATTTGGGAGAAGAATCATCCGGAAGACAACCTGGATGGGCCAGTACACACACTTTCTAAGTCAACGAAGGTTGTGGTGCTAAACTTACCTTCCTCTTCAGTAGCGACCTCAGACACCACTCGGAAGAGAATAAGCTACAATCCAACAAAAATGCGCGACCTATTAAGAGTGCGTGTCCCGTAATCTAATCGGATGCGACCGACAGGTTCTGATTTATATGGTTGATAAAGTGTGGCCTGAGCACCGAAGTGCGATGGATCCAGTTGCCACGACTCATCTCATAAGGATAACAATAACATACAGCGGCAACTTAGGGGGACTAAAGGCAAATAGCACGTAAAGAAGACGGAAGCCAGAAGGAAGTGCGTTAACCTAACCAGAATGGAAAGTAACAACCAGATGCAAGAAACCGCATGCGTGTACGCCGCGGACTGCGTAACTGCTCCATCTCTGATACGGTCTCCAACCATTGGTGTGGATTATCCCGAGGCCCCATCCACAAAGACGCAAGCCCCGCTTGACCAAGCCACTAAGCTTCTTCATGATAGTATGGCACATCATGAACTATCCATCTCGCGGTTTCGCCCAACTTGGTGCATCCACGACGTATAACGCATGTCGGGGAAGCCGGTCAACGGGCATACGGAAGACATGGCCTAGCCAACTTGACCAACGGATACAGCTATCAGGATTTGATAAGAGAAAATTGAAGCCGTTCGAAGCATGTAGCGGTACAAATATAGTATGATAAACATGTTTAAAACCAAGTTTAAACTTGCAATGAGGCAGTAATGATGTGTCAATTCACTTTACTCTCCTCATAACTGGTTGGCGGCATCCGGTTTCGGATTTGCTTGTCACTGTGGCCAGCCACAGGACGCCTGCGCCTACAGAGGGACCATGGGTGGCTTGCGCTGCATCACCCACAGCGCCAAACACACACCCCATATCCAGTGTAAACCCGAAGGAATAAGACCGGGAGGCATGTGGATGGGAGCCACGTTTCATCAACGGAGCCGGCCCACACTCCTTCACAGGGGAATCAAGCGCACACAAGGCGGTGGCTGGACAGTAGTCCGCTCCACACTGAGTGTATGGAACCACTCTTTGATCCTAACATGGCCACAAGAACCGTGCATCCCGTCCCCTCCATCAACGATCAACTGTCTCCTAGAGCCAGTATGGACAAGGTAGTGGGTAGGCACCTTGTCAACATGCACATCAAGCGCAACGGCACAGGGGATGTCAAACAAAATCCATTCACTTGAAACGACAAGATGAAATGAAATAAATCGAATAATGCATACACATACGGTGACATAACTCTTCACTAAATTACCATATGAAGTAAGTTGGTTAGCAACGAATCCGCGATAAGTAAGAAATGTCTATGAGTTACTTAAAAATACTACAATGCAACAAAGTTACCGAAGATAAGCGCAGTTATCGCAAGCAACGTGGCCAGTTAATAGAAGATTATTCAGGTAGGCAGAACAAACCAAATAAAGTGGAATGAAATTTAGCCAGCTTAAAAGACCTAGTTTAAGTGTAAGTTGCTTTTGCCCAACTGCGGTGAAGAAGCATCAAGAATGCAACAACAGCCTCAGCATGGGGCACTCAGCCTCATAACTAGGACAGTGCTTACATACCTCACCAGAGGTTCTCGCGCACGATATGCCAGCAGTATCGATCGGTGGTCATCTTCACAGTTAACTAAATGCTCAGATGCAATACGCAGTGAAAGTGACCATAGAGACTTTATTGGAAAGACATAGGCTTACAAATAGGACTGCAGGCATTTTACCAAGATATCCGATCGAAATTGTGTGCATTCCGGATCACTTTCTGAGCAGGAGAGAAAGAGTTGATAGTAGCTGGATAGCATGAAATTTGGCGAAATGGACTCAATGCAGATGTTCAGGCCTAGTTTGTTCGAACCTTCGATGTAGCCAACATGAGCGCGGAACTGAAAAATGCAATCACCTATTGGGGAGTAAGTATCTGAAGCACAGATTTAACTTTAGGCTAGTAGTCCTTCAAATGTCGGTCGAGTAAATAATGAAGATTTCACAACCGATTGTCTTATACTTGTTCTGTACAGGTTGCTAGTTGCGGGTAAAAAAAGATAAAGGCGGAATCCTATCGCCAAGTAGTTGGGACAGAACATGAACTACAGTGGCTTAGGATTCACCTGTTTTAATAACAAATGTGATTTTCCTTGGTTGTCAACTAGCTCCGGGGATTTATGTGACTTAGATTTTGCTTAACAGAAATAAATGCTACTCTGATTTCCATTGTTAACGTGGATGACATCGGGTTGGATTTGAAAATATCTATTAGTGTCTGAATAGCATCAGAATAGCAAATGTGTATAAAACTTCAATAATAACTGTTCATATCAAGGAAAAGGCGTGATTCTTGGCAGATGGTGACAACATCTTGCTTATGATTGTTTTGTTTTTCAGGTGAGAATAATGCAGTTTTATAGATAATGTCCCGGAGCAGCCTGATACCTCGTCGAACAGACTTGCAACAATTTTTACCTCTTTACAATCAAAGTTCGACTGCTTTTTAAGGATGCTTCAAATGCTGTTTGGCTATGGTACCATCTACAAGTCTTCATCACTCTACGCGAATACAAAGCTAAAGCCAAGGCTCAGGCGAACCTGATCCATAAAACGTTAGGATAATTTTGATGTGTTGAGGAAGTTTAATGGATTGCCGATGAAGCCATACGAGTTCAACGGACTGATTAATATCGCTTTTCCAATGTTCTCATGCGCGAGTAATAGTTCATTGTTAGCCTTGGCGTTATCGATCTTGGAAAAGATGCCGTACCCTTTCTGATGAAGCCCTATCGTACAGTATGGAATCTTCTATCTTAAGGTATCTACCTTAATAACAACACTTGCTCGTGACCTATGTGGCCCACATGTATACACAGCAAAGGTCAAAATAGGAGCTTTCATCTTCTTCTTTTACCTGTCCAAATTCACCACACAATCCTAGTGAAGTTCAAACTGACTATAATGGGTACGATTTGTTCACACGGACGCTGCTCGGATGACATTTGGCCACGGCTTCCTTAAATCTTCCTAAAGCAAGGTCAGTAGGGAGAAAAGATGGATTCACCGTATTATTTATCGGAGGGCAATTGCTCAAGAGCCGGCAACCTAAAGGGTCACCAAGTGTCAAAGGACCCATGAATACGTCGACGAAGCAGAGACGAAGCTTGGATTCCAAGTTCAACAGCATAATTCATAGCTGTATGTGCACCTTTCGTGTTGCTGTAGTGTGCTTAATAATAGCACGTAAATCAGATAACATTAAGTGCAGCCTATCACAAAATAATGCACTCGGGGTCCTAGTGCCTATCATTGCTACCTGTTTAGATTAAATAATTTCGAAATCGGCCCCTAGTGCTTTCGGGCGAAAAACGCCCAATATCTATCTGCTACATCAGTTACGGTCCTAGTGATCGAACTGATCCCGATTCATTTCGATGCGAATCGCGGTCAACTTTGAGATTGGGTGTTGAAATCCATTCACACAAAGAGCGCCTCAAAATGCCCCTACAATAGCTGCTTCTAGCTGCATGAGTTCAATACGCTCAACTACATTGAAGGCACCTGAACAGGTAAGTACGCGGTCAGCTGAGAAATAGAGGTATACTGCAATGTGATTCTTCAGCAATGAACAATATTTTCTAAGCGTGAAAAGCAGAGACCTGTGTTAGGAATATCAGGAGAAGGAAGGGAATATTCAGCGCAAATTTCGGATGAGTTCCTACATGTAACTTGGTCAGTTAATGAAAAAGGACATGCATGCGTACTCCAGTTATGATTTTTAACCACTTTCTGATAATCTGTAGGTCATATGTGCTAGCAAGGCAATGGAAAATCTCCCAATGAGGTAAGTCAACCACGAGAGAGCATGTACATGCTCATACTAGAGCCTACTACAGTGTGTCATGGTAATTTAACTACGACGCTGACTATTATTCACACAACAGATGATTGTGAAGAAAAAGCCATATAATGAAGCCCACAGAGGAACGTTACAAGAAAATGTTCAACTGGCCTGGTCTATTAAGCACTACTGTTATCGAGAGTTTAGGAACAGTGAAAAAGTAGGGCGTTCGTCAGGGAAACCTTTTAGATTGAAAACCATGATCTACTGGACTCGTACTCCCTACAAATGAACCACGTAGATACCATCTTTCAGGAGTGTAGGTGTCACTGTTGCCAAAGAGCGAGGTCAAGTGCCTAAAAGCATCGAGCTAGACTGGATACCATACCAGGAGCATGCATATTGGAAATACGAAAATAAAAACTGTTTTGTGAGCCGATAATCCTGAATCATTTTTCTAAAACTATGCTATCGTTGACAAACGTATGATCAAGACTCGTTGGACAAAATTATTGGCTGAATCGAGCGCATTTTGTAATATAGTTTAAACAAAGAAATGAAGAAATGGTATATTCCTCAGCGATGTGTCGCACAGTCGAAATATGTGATTTAATCAATGTACTAGTAATACACCAATGTTACCTTAGAGACATACCTACTGAACGAAGAACATTCACTGTTTGTGCAAACAAGTCGGTAACGTATTTATTTTATTTTTCTGATCGATATTCGCACCCGATTAGACCACGTTAACGTGGACTGAGCAGAAATTCCATCGGGCCGCCGTCACACACGCAGTGAGCGTTGACAATAAACTAGTAAGCTCACGGATTGGTTGAGTGGCGACAGTAGTCATCATGTGTCCTTGAACGCAATCTTGACATCATGAGACTGAGTACATGCTTTTGAAACTGGGCGCCAACCGCCAGTTCCCCGGAGAAGATTAGCTCAGAATTGGTTCAGTGGTGCTCGATGCGGAGTAAACTGAATTACAATCGATGCAGAAGTGATCACACTGATGATGTCTCAACGTTATACAAACTTCAAACGTGGGAAAATGATTGGCTCTGTGGGTATCGTCTGGTTATGAGACACATGAGACCTTCAGATTTATCGTAAGATTGATGACTTGAATGCAGTGGCGGAGCTACTGCTTCTGCTGCCCGCGACGGGTGTAAAATTTTCGCCCTGAAAGTGGAGAGAATAAACACGTGAATGCCACACAATCAGCTCAGGGTAAATTGCCCGTTAGTTTTCGACGATATGGACAATGGAACAATGGAACCATGGTTTATTACGGGTAAAAAAAGCATCGCTTAACAAGTCCCGTGAGATGGAAATTATTGCCAAAATCAATTGCATGATAAAGTGAAAAGCGTTGTGGGGGACTCACCGTAGACTTATGTGGAATAGCGGAGATGTTCGCGCAATAAACGTATAAATCCATAAATCCATTGGTTAGGCGTTTGGCAAGACACCGTTTGATTGCGTTTTGCGGCCCCTGGCTAACAAGTCATAAAGTGAAATGTAAGTGAGACAATGCATCGTTAACTCGTCTTTTAAATATCGCCAAATTGGGAACAGAGACGACATAATAAGGGAGGGCGTTCCAAGGCTGGCACACGCAGAGAGAAAAGAAATTTTTACCGCATTCAAGCCGGCTATACTGAATTGTCAGTTTCAGAGGGTGACCTCTTAGTTTAGTGTTGTGGTTCAATTCCAGCAGCGGACGGCAAATGTGGTTTGGGTTCTTCAGAATCTGGTAAACCATTATGAGATCCCCCCGCAAAAGCCGATATCGACTGCTGTAGATTCTGAGAGATTTCAGTCTAAGTTGATAGGGGAGATGAAAGAGGCCCCTGACGTTCTTGGTTGCCCTTCGTTGAGGAGTCTCGAGAGCAACGAGATCCTGTTTCTGCCACGGCTGCCACGACTGGATAGCATATTCTAGGTGCGGTCGCACGTAGGCGTTAATCATTTGGGGAAAGATTGAGGGTTCAAACCGACCGAAGGCTCTGCGAAGAAGGCCGAAGTGTTGATTGCCGGTTCTCGTCACCCTCTCTGTTTGTTTTGAATACCCGAGATCTTCCTGCACCAATAGATGCAGGTCACGCTCCTGAGCGACCTTCTCCAAGGTGTGGTCTCCAAGCTTGTAAGCGCTCACTGGCTGGTGACGCAGATGTATCACCTTGCTCTTAGCTATGTTCAATTGAAGCGTGTTCCTCTTTGACCATTTGTAAATGCAATCTAGGTCATATTGGAGCAGATCCTGATCTGCCTTGTTCTTAATCGCCCGTCATATCTTGACGTCATCGGCGAAAATCAGGAAATTTGAGGAGATGACTCTTGCCAGGTCGTTGATAAACACCAGGAATAAACGCGGTCCCGGCACTGAGCCTTGTGGGACATCACATTCCACCTCAATTGGGTTAGAAAGTGATCCCCTAACACGTACTTGAAGCTTCCGTTGGTGAAGGAAGCTGCCAATCCAACCAAGTACAGGATCTCCGATTCCGTAACTACGTAGTCTTTGAAGTAGGATGCGGTGATCAAGGCACTCGAAAGCTTTGGAGAAGGCCAGATAGATGACGTCGACTCCGACCCCATCATCGGCCACTTTCGTTCAAATACCTCGTGCAATAAGTAGGTTGGTGGTGCATGACCGGTGTTGACGGAGGCCATGCTGTTCCGGTATCAAGATGTTGCATTTTTCCAGGTAGTCCATTAAAGCCATTAGCGCCGAGTGCTTCCATCACCTTCGCGAGCACAGGGAGGAGAGTAACTAGGCGATATTTTGCAGGATCTGAACGGCTACCGCCTTTAAAAATGGGGGTGATAATGCCACACTTCCACATAGTGTGGACTTGTTGTTCATCAAAGCACCTTTGGAAGAACTGTGACAGTGGTTCAGCTAGCTTGGTGGCCGTAGCCTTCAGTGCCTTCAGGCGGATGTTGTCTGCTCCCGGAGAACTAAGCAGCTGCCGCGCGACCACCACCAGTCGCGCGCGGGCTATAACGCGAGGACGCCCGCCCCTACGCGGATTCGAACCGGTGACCTTATGGTTGCAAACCAAACGTGCAGACCACTCGGCCACCGGCCGACGATCGTTTGGGACACTGAGATAAATGTGGTGAAAGTGACCATGATGGGAAAAGTAAGGTCACTGCTGAGAGAACCGTTTGCACAACAGTGACACATGGTGCAAAATTTTGTTGGTCATACAGAATAACACTAAACTATTCAACCTTCAGCTTATCAGGATATTTTGCTTGTTATATTTGGTATCGAATGATCACCGGCACTAAAAATACCGCCCGGGGCGGACGACGACGCCCCCTCTCCTACGCCACGCCTCTGTTTAAATAATAATGTCTTTGCTAACTGTACACCTTTGGAGTGGCGATAGGATTACTGAAAAACACATCTCATTTTTACTGCGACACTCAATTTTCCTGCAAGATTACCAGTAATTCTGAAAATTATTTGTGCTCTAGGCATATGACCAATGCAATTCCAGAGTGACAACCACTATAGGATCTGCCTGTTACATCGAGATGGAAGCTTAAAAGCTAGTTATTTGTATTTTGAGTAGATTTGGCTCGTTCCACAACTGAAACCGTGAGTCCCTTATGTTTTGAGATTGCTTAGTTCACAGGAGTTTGTTATCTAAACTGCGCTATTGTGGATTACATTCATCATACCATTCTACCGGATTTATGTCAAAAGGACTCAAGGAGGCGGCACATGAGTGAGCGACTAAACAGTCGAACCCGCTTGATTGCCCACCATCGGGATATTTCAAAATTGGGCAATAAACCGGGGTGGACAATTAAATGATATTGTCCATTTTTTTCAGAAGGGAAACAACCATTGACTAATTTTGCAGTCTATCATTTGAATTGTAACGTGCTAGTAAGGATAACATGCATACTCGTAACTAAAGCCTACAAAAGCAGAAAAGCATGACCTATAATTTCAAAAATATAATATAAAACATTTTGCCTGGATAGCTATAGAAACTGGGGCTATTGTATATTTTTGCTGAGAAAACAATTTAAAGTCAATTGTACATTATTTTGAGCTGCTATTCCAGTCACTTTTGCACTGGTTAAGTCCAATTTAGACAAGAAATTGTTGTCTAGCTCTTGAATGAGACACGCGCTGATTGCTGTTACCCAAGGAGGCATCCTACACCTTATCCTCTGAGTCTCTGCCTTCTTTCCGTTTTTGGCCTTTTCTCTAATATATTACTGACGATTTTAACTTCAACAGTTGTCAGATATGAGGTGCATTATTATTGTTGTCAAAGACAATGAACTCTTTGCATTGATGACTGGGTTTGTGCAAGCGCTGATCTTGTTCTCATTGATGATGGCATTATCAGAAAGTGTATTGGATGCTAGTCGACTGAAGCCAGCATGCCGAAAGCAAGCTTTTATTGTTGCATCGGGAACCTATGTCCAACTTTTTGAAACGAACTGAACTGCATCGAGCATAGAAATCATGGCATTGACACACATTGCCGAAGATGAACCAGATAACACGTTGTTATCGATGTGATAATGAATTCGGTCCACAATTTCTTTCCGTAACGGATTTTCAGATTCATAATCACACCTTGGTCCACGTGTTGAAGAATGCTGTCCAGTTTGCAGGCAAAATCCAAATTTGAATGTTCTTCAGGCCTTCTACCTGTGGATGCGCTGTGCAATTATCCAAGAAAAACA